ACAGCTCCTTCGCGACCGGCGCCCGTCTCAGCCAACATGGTCAGCATCGGACGTCGATCCGGCTCGACGGGCGCCGACCGAGGTGGACGTGCCGGTGGCATGTCTGCTCGAGGGGGCGGCGGCAGCGCCGGCGGTGGCGGACGTGCCGGTTTCAGCTCGCAGAACACGATCCCACTCAACGCGCCTAACGGACCGGCCAGCTCCAGGGCTGGTCGCGATGCATCCAAGCTTCCAGGTTCCAGGGGCAGCGGTGGCGGCGGCAGCCATGGCCCTGCAGCGTCCGGCAGCGGTGGCCGAGGCGCCGTCAACGGTTCCGACGCGAAGCGTACGGCACGCGGCGCAGCTCCGGCCTCGGAGTCGGGCCAGGGCAGCGGGTCCAAGAAGTCGGTCTTCTTCGACTTCCAGATCCGGTCCGTTGACATTGACGCCATCGACTGGTCCTGGAGCGCCACCGACGATGCCTCTGACGATGACAAAGATGACGGCGAAGACGACGCGGCGGACGCATCCCGCGACGTCGAGGACAACGGCGGTGAGGCCTCGTCCACCGTTGGCGAAGAGGCTGCAGGCGGCGGTGAGGCCAAGGATGCTGGCGGAGCGGGCGCATCGGGATCCTCGGGCACGAAGGACGACTCGTCGTCCACCGCCGCTGCCGCCGGTCGCGACGAGCCTCCGCGAGGTCCGCGCAATCGCTGGAAGAAGGGCTCGGGACGGGCCAAGGGCGCCAGGGCGAAGGCGGCAAACGCAGTCTCGCCCCGGGACTCTACCCGGCTCCGCATCACCTTTGGCACTCCCGCCAACCTGGGGCCCGAGGGCGCGCCCACTGGGCCCAAGGCCGACAAGAACGCCTCGAAGAAGCAGCAGAGGAAGGCGCAGCAGCGCAAGGAGGCCGGCGCCTCGTCGCAGGGCGACTCGCAAAAGGGCGACGCCGCAGCGGGTGCCGCCGGCGAAGAGGCCAAGGCGAAGCCCGAGGGCGGCGACGCGGCCGCAGGCTCGACGAGCGCCGAGACGGCCGCCGATGCGCCGACGTCGGCAGCAGCTACCGCGACCGAGCACGGCACCGATGCGCCAAAGGTCGAGGCAGGCGTCGAATCGGGGGAGCAGGGCGGCAGCGAGGCCGACGGCCCGAGCAGGGCCGGTGACTGGAGCGCGGCGAGCAAGAGCCCTCCGCAGCATTCGGCCAACCGCGTCACGATCACGTTTGCCGGCGCGAAGAAGAGGCTGCTGATCGATGCCGACGCCGTCAAGTCGCTCAGCGTTGACCGGGCCGCGGGTCGGATCGAGGTTGTGGTGCGCGTCGTTACCGCTCCTGTCCAGCCGTCCGCGGCAGCTGTTGCATCCAAGAGCGGAAAGAAGTGGTCGGAGTGGGTCGTTTGCAAGGGCGTCCTGGTGAGTCGATGGCGGCGCACTGACCCGGCAGGCAGCCGACCGAGGAGGACACCGACGACTGACGTCCACGAGCGGTGCCTCGCCTGCCGTTTTTCTGTGCGCACAGCTCGAGAGCCGCGGCCAAGATCAGTCGGGCTACCAGGCGGTCGCACGTCACCAGATCGAGGAGGCGTGGAAGCAGGGTTCGGCCCAGCCGCCGCGCGAGGGGACCGCCGATGATGCCACCCAGGAGGGAGAGGCACCTGTGTCTGACGATACGGCCGCCGAGGACAAGGAGGGCGAACCGAAGGATGCCGAGGGCGCGCAGAAGGCGGACGGGCAGAAGACTGACGCGCAGGAGAGCGAGGGTGCAGGCGTCGACCTCGGACCTCTCGCCGACATCCCGCCGTTCTACCGCCTGCTAGCATCGCACAATGGACCGGCCGAGGATCTGGGCCACGCCGCGTCGACGATCGACGAGATGACAATCGTCGCGCACCTCGACACGGCCTCGCCGCTGCTGGTCGAGCCCACCTGGGTCAAGACGGGCGACGCCGATAGCTGCATCACGCAGCTGGCGACCTACAGCCAGCGGCCGCAGGATCACGAGTGGCACGGCAGGATCCACGTCGTCGACCCGGACCCGCCGCCGACGCTCGACTCGGTGCTCGACGAGTGGTGTACCGAGTCTTTCCTCGGGTCCGCAAAGGAGAGGAAGAGCTTCCTGGCCGAGACCGTCTCCTCTGCCTACGACGCACGCCCTCAGAACGGCTCCGAGGCGGTGCAGCGCGACGAGGAACGCGAGGCGCTCAACCGCACGCGGATCAAGGCGCTGGTCGACATTATGGGCAGGATGATCCGGAGCGCCAACGGGCCGTCTGTGTCGCTGGACGCGCTGAGCGGGCCGCTGGCTGCGGCGGCCAGGGATTCGCAGAGCAGCAGCCACAGCGTCTCGAGCCTCTGCGTGCTTGCCCTGTCTGACATGGCGCTCCGATTCTCGCAGGCGGCGGGCGTGAGCAGCGAGGAGATCCGCCGCAGCGTGTGCGAGATGATGATGCAGTTCCCCAGGACGGCCCTGTTCAAGACGCTCGACAATGTGGTGAGTAGGCGCGCTGACGGCCTCTGTCCTTCGACAGTACGTGCGGTGCGGATCGCTGACGTTGTCGGTTTCTGCTCGTTCGGTCGATCTCTGCTCTGCAGTGGAAGGAGCGTATGGAAAAGATGCGCCAGAGTGCGGCGAGCGGCGCTGGGCAGAAGCGCAAGCGGGACAAGGACCGGGAGGGCGATGACGGTGACGAAGGCGGCGACAACGACAAGACCAGAACGGCGCAGTCCACCCCGGCTCCGGCTCCGACTTCCACGTCCACTTCGACCTGGACCGCTGAGGCTGCGGGCAACGCGGCGACATCAGCATCGGCGGCGGAACAGGAGGCAAAGGTCGAGGGCGATGCCGAGGTCAAGGTCGAAGCCGAGGTCAAGGAGGAGAAGGCGGCTATGGACGAGGCCGAGACCAAGGCCGAGACTGGCAACAAGCCTGCGGCCGAGGCCGAGGTCGAGGTCAAGGACGAGACGATGCAGGAAGACAAGGCGACGGTCAAGGGCGAACCAGAGCCGCAGGGCGAGGTCGGCACGATTGAAGCTGCCCAGGACGACGAGGAGGAGGGCCAGGACCAGAACAGCAAGCCGGTTGAGGAGGCCGCCGCTGTCGGCCTTGACGCGGCAGATGGAGAGGCGACCACCCTGGCAGCTGGCGAAGATGGTGACGCCGCCACCGCCGCCGAGGTCACGGAAGAGGTTGTCGGGGGCACCAGCGGCAGCGGCGGAGGCGACGTTTCAATGACGACCGACGAGGTTGTCGAATGACGGTGCGGTGCGCCCGCCGCCCGCTGCACGCCCGACCAAGAGCGGCCCTTCTACCATCCATAGAAGCATGCAGAGAAATGACCAGTGCACACGAAACTTGTTGCGCGGTGCCCGGTGGCGAGACAAGAGAGATGGATCGCGGGCTCGAGAGTGCACGACCGAGGAGCAGACGACGACAGCGGCAGCTGGGTCAGTCTGCCGCACGTGACGCGGACCCAGCTTGGCAGCCGATTTTCGCTGTGAAAGGGCGCAGCATGGCGGTCGTCGAAGGAGGCAGCAGCAAGACTCTGATGAGGGCGGCCAGGACCGGCAGCTGCTGGACATCCACTTGGCCCCGGGCTGGCACGGCACAGAATCTTAATGGCCTCGTCGTTGTCGGTGGGAGGGGAGGAAGAGGTGGGCCGGGGAGTGAGGCGTGGCGCGCGTCGAGGGCGAGGGCGAGGGCGAGGGCGGCAGGCCTCTGGCAGGGCTGGCCAAGCGAGGCCTCGAGGCGAGCGAGTGAGCCCCTGAAAGCTCGGGCTGCGCCCCAAAGGCGCAAAACGACCGAGAGGCAGACAGAGAGCAACACACGCCCACACGCCCACGCGCGCTGGAAAACATCATCGGCCTGCGTCTGCGTCTGCGTCTGTATGTGTCTGCGCCTGCGCCCGCGACCCTGACCCTGACCCTGACCCTAGGCGTGGACTGCCTGGCCCCTATCCGCGGTGCGCCCATAGGTCCATCGATCGGCCTTTGACAAAGGCAGGGCAACGGAAAATGACGGCGGACCGCACCACTCTCTGCCCATCCTCGAGCGCTCTCTCCCGACCCGATGCTGGGCCGATGGGGGCAGCGTGGAGACGGTAGCGCGGTGGTGGGGGCAGAGAACCAGCGGGGACGGCTTTGGTGCCAGAGTGCAGGCCAGAAAGGGAAGGAGAGAGGAGGCAGGACGAGGATAGGCTCGGCCTCTGTGGCCGGGATTCCAAGCAGCAGCTCGCGCAGCCGCCCGCTGGTGCAAAGTGCCACCTCGCACGCCCCCTCGTGTCGCCCTCCCCTCCGCCTCGCACCTCCCGCCGTCATCCTCCGACTTCTCTTGTACCACCTCCCCCTCGTTCCTCGGCGCATCCTACCCTGCGCGCCCGCAACTCGACGTCGATCAACGCGGGTATTACAGCAGTGGTCACCTTACGCCCTCACCCAAATAGACGCACCACCTCGACCGACAACTGACAAACACTGCAACGACTCCAACGACGGTGCGACCAGCTGCTCTACGCCATCACACACACAGCTTATCGCCATCATCGATAGCCCGCTGCTCCGTCCAACTCGCACCCTGTGCCACGCCCCCTGCGACGACCCCAGCCTACGCCCCTGTACCACCAGCCGGCCACGCCGACGCCGACGCCGCCACCGCCTTCCCATGATGGACCAGCAGGCCAAACCGCAGCTCCCCGCTGCCAGCGCCAATGCCCGCGCCAACCCCTTTGCCTACCAGTCAAAATACCTCGAGCGATCCTCGTCCCGCAGCAGCACCGCTTCCAACTTCTCGCTCGCCAACCCGCTCGACTCGACGGCCAAGCTGCCCGGTGCCACGGGCCTGCACCACTCGGGCTCCATCCGCAAGTTCCCCATGCCCCACCGCCACACTGCCTCTCTCGACCCCGCCAGGACCGCAGAGCTGCGCAACGGCGCACACGGCATCGCCGCCTCGGGTGCACACTTTGGATCCAACGGCAGCATCGCCAGCTCCTCGTCCAACGGCTCCTCCGCCTCGCCCTCACAGGTCAGCCCGGCCACCTTCAGCCGCGCATCGTTCGCCTCGGCCCCGCGCCCCGCCGCTGCCACCTCGAGCGCCAGCAGCCGGCCCTTTTCGATGCCACCTGCCCCCCACGATTCTTCTCGCTCCTCGACCCCGACCGGGAGGAGACCAGGCTCGCCCACAAAGACACCCTTCGACCGCGCCGGCTCCCCCACAAAGGACTATGGAAGCCCTCACACTTCGCCCAAAAAGGACGACTCGTCCTGGATCCAGTCCCCCGGCACGCCCACCACCGGCAGCTTCTGGAGCTCCTCGACGTCGACCTCGGCCGCCCACCACCATGGCCCGTCCCAGCTCCATCTCGGCGGCGTCAAGGACCTCAAGCGGTCCAGCGTCGGTGCCCTGCAGCTGATGCGCGACTTTACCGCCAAGACCGAGGGTGTGTCGCCCGTCGCCAACGCCGCGGGCCACACCCGGATGACCGTCGGCCGCGCAAAGGGACACCGCACGATGAGCATCGACGGGGCCATGGGGGGCTCGCCGCACCTGCCCCCTCTCGCCACAAACGGCGCTCGTTCCGGGCTAGAGTCGACCGACGAGGAGTGGAAGAAGCCCGCCCGCCCCGGGCGGATGGAAAGCGAGGACCAGGAGGGCGAGATTGTGCTGCCGGGCATCACCACCGGCGCCGAGGACGTGGCCGGCCTCTCGGGCAGGATCCGGCTGGCCAGGCAGGGCGGCGGAGGGACCATGGCGCTTGGTCGCTCGTCGGCCACATCGTCGCTCCCCTTTTCGACGGGCAGCAAGTGGATGGACACGCAGCGCCACCTGCTCCAGGCGTACGAGTACCTCTGCCACTGCGGCGAGGCAAAGGAGTGGATGGAGCACTGCGTCGAAGAGGAGCTGGGCCACGTCGTCGACATGGAAAACGAGATGCGTGACGGCATCTTCCTTGCAAAGCTCGCCAAGAAGTTTGAGCCGGACTGCGTGCCCCGCATCTTCATCCACCCCAAGCTCCAGTACCGCCACACCGACAACATCAACCACTTCTTCGCCTTCATTGCCAAGGTTGGACTGCCCCACTTTTTCCACTTTGAGCTGACGGACCTCTACGAGAAGAAAAACTTTCCAAAGGTCGTCTACTGCATCCACGCCCTCAGGTGAGTCGGCGGCGTGCCGCGCATGGTCGCATGGTATAGACGCTGACGACCGGTCGATGTTCCTGCTCACTTCTGCCCCACCCCTCGCCCTGCCATCCTGCAGCCACGTCCTCGCGCGGCAAGGGCGCTCGCTCAAGGTCGGCAACCTCATCGGCAAGCTCGAGTTCACCGACGACCAGCTGCAGCAGACGCAAAAGGGCCTCGATGCGGCCGGCGTCGCGATGCCCAGCTTCGGCGGCGTCGGCAAGGCGCTGGCAAAGGAGATGAACGTCGAGCCGGAACCGGAGCCGGAGACGGAGCAGGAGCGCGTCGACCGCGAGCTCGCCGAGAACGCCGACGCCGTGCTGGCGCTCCAGACCGCCTGCCGCTCCTTCCTCGCCCGGCTCGACTTTGCCGACCGCCTCCAGGTCGAGATCCAGAGGCGCCGCGACGAGGAGGAGCGACGGCTCGCCGCCGAGGCCGAAGCACGTCGCCTGGCCGAGGAGGAGGAGGAGCGGCGCCGGATCGCAGAGGCCAAGGCTGCCGAGGCGCGGCGGATCGCAGAGGCCGAAGAGGCTGAGAGGCGGCGGATCGCAGAGGCCGAGGAAGCCGAGAGGCGACGGCTCGCCGAAGAGGAGAGGATCAAGGCGGCGTGGGCGCCCGTTGTGCAGGCGCAGATCCGCGGCGTGCTGGTGCGGCGGGCCCACCATCGCAAGGAGGCGGCGCTGCGGACGAGCACGCGGACGTACGTCGGCATCCAGGCCATGGTGCGGGCCAGGCTCGCGCGACAGGCGCACGCCGAGAGGGTCAAGGAGATCCACGACGACCGCAACCACGCCGCCATCGAGCGCTTCCAGGCGCGGGCCCGGGGCGCGCTGCTGCGGAAGCGCTTCTACCAAAACATCAGCGCGCTCGACCAGCACGAGGCCGGCGTCACGGGCGTGCAGGCGCAGATCCGCGGCGCGCTGGCGAGGAGAGAGTACGAGGACCGGATCATGCGGCTGGCCGAGTCGACCGAGGACGTCATCAAGCTGCAGGCGGCGTGCCGGGCGGTGCTGGCCAAGCAGAAGCTGCTCGGGACGATCCGGGGCCTGCGGTCGTCGGAGGACGCCATCGCCCAGTTCCAGGCCCACGTGCGCGGGCTGCTGGCGCGGCGCAACCACCGGCAGATGCGTTCGGCGCTGCACAAGGTCGAGGTCAAGCAGGCCGTCGGCGGGCTGCAGTCCTTCGCGCGTGCGGCGCTGGCGCGGAGGAAGCACAAGGAGCAGAAGAAGCAGCTCGACTTTGTCACGCCCGACGTGGTGGGCATCCAGGCGGCGATCCGGGGCATGCTGGTGCGTCAGGAGTACGACTGGTGGCGGAGCCACCTGGTGCAGAGCGAGCCCGTGGCGGTCCACCTCCAGTCGCTGGTGCGCGGCCTGCTGAGCCGGCGCAAGTACTTTGCGCGCCTGCGGCACTACCACGAGCACCTCGACAAGGTGGTCAAGATCCAGAGCCTCTTCCGCGGCAAGCAGCAGGGCGAGCAGTACCGCAGCCTGACGATGGGCAAGAACGTGCCCGTCGGCACCATCAAAAACTTTGGCCACCTGCTCAACGACAGCGACCACGACTTCGAGGACGAGATCGAGGTCGAGCGGCTGCGCAAGCTCGTCGTCCGCAGCATCCGCGAGAACCAGACGCTCGAGCACGACGTGTCGGAGTTGGACACCAAGATCGCCCTGCTGGTCAAGAACAAGATCGGCATCGAGGAGCTCATCAAGGCCAAGAACGAGCGCGGACTGCTGGGCCAGCGCGACGCGGCGGCCGCCATCCAGAGGCGCAACTCGGTCCTCGTCGCTGCCGGCGACCCCTTTGCCGACCAGGCGCTCGACCGGGCCGCCCGGCGCAAGCTCGAGCTGTACCAGGAGCTCTTCTACACGCTGCAGACGCGGCCAGAGTACCTGGCGCGGCTGTTTGCGCGCGTCGGCAAGCTCGAGATGTCGGACAAGCACAAGCGGCAGGTGGAGAAGATCGTCCTGACCCTCTTTGGCTACGCGCAAAAGGCGCGCGAAGAGTACCTGCTGCTCAAGCTCTTCCAGCGCTGCGTCGCCGAGGAGCTGACGTTCGTCGGCACGACGCAGGAGTTCATCCGCGGCAACGCCCAGTTCATCAAGCTCGTCGTCCAGTACAACCGCGGCGCAAAGGAGCGCAAGTACCTGCGCGACCTGCTGGCGCCGCTGGTGCGCGGCATCATGGACGACGACGCCCTCGACCTCGAGACGGACCCGTGCGCCATCTACCGCGCCACGATCAACGAGGAGGAGATGCAGACGGGCCAGGCGAGCAAGCGGCCGCTCGACGTCACGTTTCACGAGGCGCTGGCCGACCCGGCGGCGCGCACCATCTTTATCCGCCACCTCCAGGCGCTGCGCGGCACCACTGAGGCGTTCCTCGGCGCCATTCTGGGCTCGGCGCGCAAGATGCCGTTTGGCATCCGCTACATTGCGCGCGAGGTGTTCCGGGCGCTGCAGACCAAGTTCCCCAACGAGTCCGAGGACGCGCTGATCAAGGTCGTCGGCCACCTGGTCTACTACCGCTACCTCAACCCGGCCATTGTGGCGCCCGAGGGCTTCGACGTCATCGAGACGCTCGTCGGCCCCGTGCAGCGCAAGAACCTGGCCGAGGTGTCCAAGATGCTGACCCAGATCGCGGCGGGCAAGCTCTTCTCCGAGGACAACCCGTATCTGCAGCCGCTCAACGAGTACGTGTCGCAGGCGACCGAGCGCTTCTCCAAGTGGCTGTTTGCCGTCATCGACTGCAACGACGCCGAGCTGCAGTTTAGCGCCGACGAGTTCCTCGACCACACCAACCAGCAGAAGCCCGTCATCTACATTTCGCCCAACGAGATTTACTCGATGCACCTGCTGCTGCGCGACCAGGTCGACCACCTGGCGCCGCTGGCCGAGGATCCGCTGCGCGTCATCCTGTCGGAGCTGGGCAACCCTCCCGTGTCCAACACCCAGGAGCTCAACACGGCGCGCGACAGCGAGATCACCTTCGAGCTCGTCAGCCGCATGGCCAACCTCAAGGACCCTGAGGCCGAGAGCAAGGCGCTGTTTGTCGAGACCAAGCGGCTGGTGCTGGCGCTGCTCAAGGTGCAGTCGGGCAAGACGCTGGTCGACGTGTTTGTGGCGCCCGTCACCGACGTCGAGGAGCTGCAGTGGGAGGAGATTGTCTCGCTCGAGGTGGCCGCCGACCGGCAGCGGCAGCGGGGCCAGCGTCCGCCGCCGCTCCACGACACGGCGGGCGCGGCGGCGCGGCTCGAGGACGTGCGCAAGCTGTCGTTTGCCGAGCTCAAGGCGCGCACGCTGGAAAACATGCTGACGCTGGAAAAGATGGGCAAGGTGTCGCGCGCCAACGGCTACCAGGACATGCTCAACGCCATCGCCATCGACATCCGCAACAAGCACCGCAAGCGGATCCAGCGGCACAATGAGAAGCTGGCCATGAACGTGACGCTCAAGAACCTGGGCGAGAAAAAGAGCTACCTCGAGGAGCAAATCAACAGCTACCACAGCTACATTGACGCGAGCATGCAGACGATGCAGAAGAAGGGCAAGCGGCGGTTCGTGCTTCCCTTTACGCAGCAGTACTTCCACCTGCGCAACCTCAAGGCGACGGGGCGGGTGCCCAAGTTTGGCTCGTACAAGTACACGGCGCAGAAGCTGTTTGAAAAGGGCGTGCTGCTCAGCATCGACGGCTTCTCGACCAAGCAGTACGATCAGATCAACCTCACCATCTCGAGCGACGAACCCGGGCTCTTCACCATCGAGGCCAGCGTGCTCGGCGTCAGCGGCGGCAGCTGCGACCTGCGCATCGAGGACCTCCTCGAGGCCCAGTTCAACCACCAGCAGACCCTCGTCCTCATGGACGGAATGGCAAAGGTCAACTTGAACCTGATCATCCACCTTATCAACAAGAAGTTTTACGCCTGAGGGGGGGCCCCCTCCTTTCCCCGCCTTCTCCACCCTCTCCGCCCCTTGGCCATGCGCTGCGGACCTCGCTCGTCGAGGGCTCTCTGCCTCGTCTCTGCTCCTCGTCCCCGTCTTTATGTACATAGCCACCTCTCTCCCTCTCCCCCCGCTTCCGCCCGCGTCCCTCTCTCCCCTGTAATATCCTTCACGACGTCCATCATGTACGAATCATCACGCTGCTTGCTCATGTCGCGCAATCGAGGACGTGTTCGGAACGAAACGCGGCGCGGATCGGTTCCTGCCTCTGCGTGTTCGTGCATGGGCTCGGTGCGCCGCCTCGCTCCTCGACGGGCAGGCAGACGGATGATAGGAAGTCGGCTCGAGAGCGCAACTCAGCCTGGCTCTCGGGTCACCCTCCCACGGCGCCTGCTGCGGATGTGATCTCGGCGGCGCCCGCTCGAGGCTCTGGGCGCAACCGTTCCTCCAGATCTGACGGTCCTTGCAGCCGCCTCACTCGGGTGGTGGGCTCGACAGCCCTGAGGCTGCGGCGGTGAAGTCGTAGGAAGGATGTGGCGGGGCGTTGGCATCATGATTCTTCTTCGACGGTCAAAGCGCCCCGGCCGTCCCGGCCTCCGCTCGAATGGCCGGTGAGTGTGCCGCATCTCTCGATGATTCCTCTGACTGTCAAACGTCGAGCGCTTTGGCGGCCCCGCCCCCCGAGATAGGTGGGAAGGGTCGTCAGGAGCCCGAGCGACCGACGCCGCACCGTCTCGTCTGTGCAAGCGCGCTCGGCACGACGATGTCGCACACACACGCACGCGCACGCACCTCGGCAGCTCCGCGTTCCATTCCAGTGAGGGTGTGGTAGGCATCATGGTCCCGCTGGTGGAGAAACGTGGTTGAGCCTACGCCGTGCTTGTGGTCTGATGAGCGCGAGCGCGGATCAAGGGCACGAGGGCAAGGGAAATGCCAAAGTCTCGCGCGCGCGCGCGCGCGCGTCCGGTAGTTGGAAGAGCGCGTGCGGGCTACGATGCAAAGGCAGGCAGGCGTCTCCGTGGGAGCACCGCTGTGACGAGATCTGCGCATTCCAAACCAGACACGACGTCCGAGAAGACAACGCAGTGCCACGCAGCAGGTTCGCGCAGCCAGTCACGAGTAAAGTCCAGGATCGATCCGACCGATACGATGGTATTAGATTGCGTTTCGTAAGAGCTATGACGGGGGACGAGGAGAAAGGATGAAAAGAGAGTGAAGGACAGAGAGACGATGGATGGGAGTTGCAAGAGGTCCGGAGTGCACAGGAGAGAGTCGGGTGCAGAGCGACATTGCGGGGGGGAGGGACGACGTGAGACGCGTCTTGGTTTTTTTCCTCTATGGGTCGCGGAACATTGCAGGGAAGAGGGGGCTATGTACAGAGGAGGCTCGGGGACTGACTATGGAGCAAGGGGAACGTGTCCACGAGTGCTTCAAGCACCTCGCTCAGCGATTGGCAAAGCGAAGGAACTTGGAAGCCATAACCGTGAACGCGGCATTGAAAATCACAAAGGCGATGAACACGCCGATGTCTCGCCCCTTGTCGGAGGCGAAAATGTTGACGCCGTTTGCGAAATCCTGGCCGTACGAGTACTGGCAGTACCTGCAGTCGGCGGTGGCGTTGGGATCTTGGAGGTAGCCGCCGTAGGCGTCGAGGAACTGGCCTGCCCACTGGACGCACGACTGGCCAGAGGGGGGCTGGAAGGTGGCGAACTCGTTGGGTGCGCACTGGATGCGGAGGTCCTGGAGCTCGTTTCCGACGAGGCCGCCGACGAGGTAGGTGAGCGGGTTGACCCAGTACATCCAGCTCTTCCAGAAGTGGGGCATGTTGGGGTAGGGGATGGTGACGCCGCAGAAGAGGGTGGTGATGATGATGAAGAAGGGGTTGGCCAGCGACGCGATGTAGATCGACGGCGACACGGCGGCGATGGCCTGGCCCAGGGTGACGGCGAAGAGCTCGGTGCAGAGGAGCATGGCGAAGAAGTAGCCGGCGCGGTCGGAGCCCGTCTGGAAGCCGGCCGGGTAGTAGAAGAGGACAAAGTAGACGACGACGCAGGCGATGCCAAAGGGGATCTCGGAGATGAGCTGGGTGATGGCGAAGACGGTGCCGCTGTACATCTTGCTCGAGTCCTCGCGGATGTAGACGGAGCGGGCCATGATGTAGAAGGGCTCGATCTGGGCGAGGATGATGGCGGGCAGGACGCAGGCCATAAAGATGCCGAACACGCGGTACTGGAGCGAGGCGACCGTGTTGCTGAGGTTGAGGAAGCAGAGGCCCGTGATGAGGGCGATGGCGGCGTGCTGGAAGAGGCGGGTGAACTGGTAGTCGGGCTGCCTCCAGGTGCTGATCAGGGTGCGCTCGAGGACGACGCGCAGCTGCGTCATGTACGACGTGGCGTACTCGGACGCCTTGCCGCCCTGGACGTCGCCGGCGTTGCCGGAGCGCGCGCACTCGTCCTTGATGCGCGCAATCTCGGCCAGGTTCTCCTGGAAGAGGTCGCTGTCGAGGTAGATGTCGGCCCAGTCGCGCGGGCCGACGCGCTTCGTCGAGCCGGCTCCGATGGCGTCGAGCATGTACTCGGCCATGTTGACCGAGGGCGGACAGTGGGCGCCGTTGTCGGCAAAGTACTTGACAATGTGCTCGGCGTTCTGGCCGACGGGGCCAAAGTAGACGGTGCGTCCGCCGCGCTCGAGGAGCAGCAGGCGGTCAAAGTTCTCGAAGAGGAGCGCGTTGGGCTGGTGGATGGTGCAGAGGATGGCCTGGCCCGAGGCGGCGAGCTTCTTGAGGAAGCGGACGACGTTGTACGCCGTCTGTCCGTCGAGGCCCGACGTGGGCTCGTCGAGGAAGAGGAGCAGGTCCGGGCGCGCCGCCAGCTCGACGCCGATCGTGACGCGCTTGCGGTCTCCGACGCCGAGGCCAAATTCCGGGTAACCGATCATGGCGTCGGCGATGGGGGCCATCTCGAGGAGCTCGATGATGTCCTCGACGTAGGCGTCCTTGTCGGCCTTGGGCACCGAAGCCGGCTGGCGCAGGTAGGCGCTGAAGCGGAGCGCCTCGCGGACGGTGGCGGTGGCCTCGTGGATGTCCTGCTGCTCAGCGTAGCCGCAGCCGCGCTGGAACTCGACGCCGATGGGCTGCGCGTTGATGAGGCGGTCGCCGGTGATGACGCCGATGCTCTTGCGGTCGGCCAGCACGTCGAGGAGCGTCGTCTTGCCGGCGCCCGAGGCGCCCATGAGGGCCGTCAGGGTGCCCGGCTTGCAGTAGCCGTAGACGTCGTCGAGGAGCTTGCGCTTGCCGCCCTTGACGGGCACCGTGTAGGCGATCTTTTCCCAGGTGAAGGGCTTGGACTCGACGTCGATCTGCTTGCTGGCGTCCTTCTCCTTCATCGTCGAGCGCTCCTTGAGGCGGTCGTTGAGCCTCTGCTCCTCCTTGTTGGGCTTCTTGACGATGGTGAGGGCGCTGGCGAAGCGGCCGTGCTGGAAGAGCTCGATGGCGACGAGGGTGAGGGCGACGAGGCCGACAAAGAAGATGACGACGACGCCAAAGTAGAGCCAGAGCTTGTCGGTCGTGTAGCCGAAGCTGGCCTGGAGGTAGGCCGATCCGGGGACAAACTGCTGTCCGGGCGACGAGCCGAGGAGCGTGCAGACCTGGTTGGGGCCGACGTCGTTGGGGTAGACGTTCTGGCCCGGCGGGTTGCGCGGCGTGATGTAGGGGCCGACGCACGCCAGGCTGAGGTCCTTGAACTCGTTGATCATGACGGCGCTGAAGCCAAAGTAGAGCGGGTTGATGTAGGTGATCCAGAAGAGCCAGCGGTACATGCCGTCGCGCGGGATGACGTATCCGGCAAAGACGACGAGGGCCGAGATGATGATGGCCGCCAGCCGCGCCGCCACGTTGTAGTCGCGGCAGACGGTGCCAAAGATGCGGAAGAGGGCGCTCATGGCGAGGTAGGTGACGTAGACGATGATGAAGAAGGTGAAAAAGGCGCCCGCGGTGCGGCGGAGGCCGGCCATAAAGTAGATGATGATGCTGAAGATGAGGACGCGCAGGAACGAGAGCGGGATGTCGGAGAGCATCTGGGCCAGCGAGAGGGCGGCGGGGCGGTAGAAGGCGTAGTTCATCTGCTTGTACAGGATCGGGCGGCCGCCCATCTGCATCGGCAGCTCGTTGAAGGCCGTCAGCGCGTTGAAGAGGAGGCCGATGAAGAGGACACCGCCGCGGGTGAAGCCGCCGGCGGCGGTCTGGGGCAGGTTGAGGAAGACGGAGCCGGCGATGATGGCGATGGCGATGGCGGTGGCAAACGACATAAAGATGTCAAACTTGTTGCCGAGCACCATCTGGATCTGGCGGAGGGTGAGCGACTGGACCTGGCGGAAGAAGGAGACCGTGTAGATGCTCTTCTTGGAGACGCCCTTGTGCTTGTCGTCGCGGACGGCCTGGCGGAACTCTTCGGCGGCGCGGTTGTCGGCGGCCGTCTCGGCGTCAAAGGCCTGCTTCTCGGCGAGGATGTCGCGGTAGATGGACGACTCCTTGTAGACCTTTTCGAGCGCCTCGGACGTCGAGGGGACGTTGGAGGCGTCGCGGCCCTCGGCGAAGCGGTCGAGGTTGGGGTCGGTGCAGCCCGAGAGGAAGTCGGCCGTCGTCTGGCGCGGGTAGTTTTTGAAGCCGAGGTCGAGGAAGTACTGGCGCGCCTTTTCCGGCGGGCCGTAGTAGACGCAGCGGCCCTCATCGATGAGGAGGACGCGGTCAAACTGCTCGTAGATGCCCTCGCCCGCCTGGTAGAGCGAGATGAACGAAGTCAGCTGGAAGATGTCGGTCATGATGCGCATGCTCTTGGCGTAGTCGAGCGCCGTCGAGGCGTCGAGGCCGCGCGTCGAGTTGTCCCAGCTGAGCACGGCGGCGCGCGAGCACATGCCCTCGGCAATCGAGACGCGCTTGCGCTCGCCGCCCGAGACACCGCGCACCGTGGCGCTGCCGACGAGGGTGTCGGCCGTGTGCGGGATGCCGAGCATCTTGAGCATCATGTTGAGCACGTCCTTGTTGAGCTGGCTCTTGGTCTGGCCGGGCACCATCTGGCCGGGCGTCTTGAGCGACAGAGCAAAGTCGAGCGTCTGCTTGACGGTGAGCGTGGCAAAGTGCACGTCGTCCTCCTCGTTGTAGACGGCCTCGCCCTGGTAGCGCTTGCGGAACTCGGCGGCGTCGATGCCGGCGTAGCGCACCTCTCCGTTGACGCCCAGGAAGCCGGCGCGCTGGTTGGCCACCGTCTTGAGGAACGTCGAGCATCCCGAACCGGGGCGGCCCAGGACGAGCGTCATCTGGCCGGGCCGGGCGCAGCCGGTGAAGCCCTGGAGGAGCTTGCGCATCTCGGGCTTCTTGATCTTCATGTAGATCTTGAACAGCGGGCCGATGAACGTCTCGATGATGGCGTCCGGGAAGGTGCGGATGTGGAGCGACATGCTGTTGTTGCCCAGCACCTCGAGGTCCTGCCAGGAGACGCCAATGTGCTTAGCCTTGATGCCCGCCTGGCTGTTTTCCGACTGGACAGAGCGTAGGTACTGGACCAGGTCGAACTCGTCTTCATCGTCGAGCTCGCCGGACTCGAGGTCCTTTTCGCCATCGCCCTTGTCGCTGCGGGGAGATAGGGAGAGGGAGAGGGTAAAAGGGGGTTGCCGAGCACACATCGCTCGTCAGCCGACTGCCTGACCAGCTTGCCGTCGGATCATTACCGACTGCCACTCACCTGCGGACGCGGCTGTGACGGCTGAGGGTCTGCTGAAGGTTGGAGAACTGCCTCTCTGCCTGCTGCACGTCGACCTGACCTTCCTTGTCTGCGGTAGTCGTCTCCTGCATCTGCACCGACGAGTGATCCTGGTCGCTGCGGATGCCGCTGTTGGTCGTCGAGAGGGCGTCGGGGGTGCTGAGGCCGCTCGCCGGGGCGTTGGTGTCGAGCTGGCTCATGGTGTGCGGTTGGCGGGGTGCGATATGAACCGAAAAGGGATGGATATGAAGGCCGGTCGTGCCGGATCGTCGATGCCAGGGGGGGCTGCTGACCTGATGACACAGTAGTAGCCTCGCTCCTTTGGCGGCCGGTGGGCGACGGGAGCTCTGCCTCTGTCCGCGTCAGCCGGGGCGCGGATGCCACGGGCGGACGTGGGGATGGGGGCGTTTAAAGCGTGCGCTGTTGGGCAGCGAGGACGAGATGAGGTGGGGGCGACGGTGAGGTCGACTGTGCGATCCAGAGGATCGACGGCTGGGCTGGGTCGTGCTCAGGAAGTGGGCGAGATTGGTGGGGACGCTTGGAGAAAGAAGCTTCAGCAAGATGAAGCCATCGACGACCAGGGCTCCTATATAGGATTCAGGCGGAAGGTCGACAGACAGCGGGCAAAGGTACGGGTGGTCCGCGGCGTGCGTCGACACGGTGCTGCGGGCTGAGCTCGCCGGTGGTTTGGCTTTGTCAAGTCGGTCAGAGGCCCACGGCGGCAAGGCAACCAAGGGACAAAAAAAGTTCAAGCGGCGGCGGCAGCGGCAGCAGCAGCAGCAGCATGAGCTCGCCCCTGGCCGTGTCCGCTGGAACGTTTGTCCGCTGGCAATCCCGGGCCGAGAAGCGTCGGTTAGAGAGAATGTCGAGGCGGGGCTGGGTGGTGCTTCGAGAGAGCGAGGACAGGACGCACGCGGGTCGGCCGCCGAAGCCATGGCCAGGCCAGGCCAGGCAGGCCGTCGTGCCGTTGCGGGCCACAAAGGCCGCGGACCAGGCACTCGATCCGACCCGAACACCGACCGGCGCTTTGGTCCTGCCTGATCTTGTGCCGTCTGGCAGGGCTGCCTGGCCTGCTTGCTTGCTTGTGTACCGGTATGTCTTCCTCCAAGGCCACCGCCGCCGCCGCCGCAATGTTTTTCTTGCACGCGTTTGGCTGCCGTCGTGGTACCGTACGACGACGTGGGACAAGACACGTCAGGTCAGCCCGGCCCGTTCTCGGGACGCACCTCCGCCGCCCGCATCTGGACAGATGGACCGACCGACCGACCGACGAGGTAGGGTCAAGTCGCGCGCGCACAAGATCGACGCAGCCCGGCCTGCGTCTGCTCGGGCTGCAGCGGCAAAATTGGATGGCCCATCGTCTGGCCCGCTCTGATTCTGACCTCGTACGATTCATCCAAGGTGGCATCACCCACCCATTCGTCGTCGACCGCGTCCACGCCGTACGGTCAACTACACGACGGGATGATATGATGGCCCGTTCCGCCCTTCCTTGGCCACGTCCGCACAGACTCTTGATTTCGATTCGATGAGGACCCAGTGTCAGGTGGGCCTTCCCTGGCTTCTCTCGGCAGCGACGACGACGACGACGACGACGACGACGACAATTCAGCGCCCGCATCGTCCGATGTCGTACTACCCGTAGCTGTACCTGACGCTCACTCTGTCTCCCGCATCGCCAGCTCGTCAGGCAACGGCCACGCCGGCGAATACCGTAGCGCCCACGGAACGGAGGCGGTCCCTACTCACGCAGGGGTACCGCAGGAAGCCATCCTGGGACGGTGCTTCTTGGCTGCGGGCGTTGAAAAATGCCAGCCTGCCTGCGTGCCTGCCTTGGTTGTGTGTCCCTTCGTCGAAAACTGCTGCTGGCTGTATGTGAGTTGCAGATCGTTTGCCACCTGCCTGCAGCGAGGCAGCTTCGCGGGCCGGAAACCAGATCCGGCCTCCGTGGAGCAAAAGCTGGCCTGGCGGCCTTCGTCGTCGCGTCGGCACCGGACGTATGGCAGGCCAGGCCTGCCTCCACCTCTTCTCTCTGCCCATGCAGCCCAAGGGCAAAGGCACAACAGAGAGCCGTCGGAAGCTTTCGTGGCCCTTCGATGGTGGCCGGTCCATGTCTGCCATGCATACGCTCGACGACTCTTGCTCAGTAGTGACCGAGGGGGAATGGGGCGCCGGCTATCGAGTTCCGCTGCAGCGCCTGATCAGCGACACTTCTAATCTCCGCGCCCCTATCATACGCCACCATCATCGCAACCGTCTGGCTTCCGACCCTCGAGTCGAGCTAGGATACCGGCAGCAACTTGCTACCCTTCTTCCGATGGAAGAGAAAGCGGGAAAAAGCAGGGCCTTGACCTTTCCATTGTCATGCAGCCGTCTCTTGGCCTAGGCCGCCAAGCTCGACATCGTATCATACCTTGCAGAGTACCGTCTCGGACACAAGTTGGTAAAGGCATACAACCATGAGCAATCGAGGCGTACCGTGGCCATGAGGTCTGGCCTTTGACAGACGACCACAGAGCTGACCTAAGATGGCCAACGCGGACCATATGCGCAACCCCCCCGCCTCGTGGTCGGAATCTCGACGCCGAAGGGAGACCCCGAGGCCTCTTGCTGCCAAGAAGCGAGGCCTGGCCAGGGGCAGCGCAACCGTCCTCGGAGCCAAAGTTGTCGCGCGGGTCGGGCAGATCGAAGCACAAGCACAAGCAAGACCTGGCTGCATCGGAAGCCGGCGCCGGACACGTCGGAGCTCGGTTTCCGTCTCCGCTTTTCGACTTCTCGGATGGGCGCGCCCCCCCGACCTCCTGGCCTCGCCTCGATGACGTGAGCAAGGGAATGCCAAAATCATCTGGGCCTTGGCGCACGGGGGTGTCAGGATTTGCCAACGTAGCGGGCGGCCTCCTGATGCCACCTTCAGCCACGAACTGAGCCTTGGCTCGTCAGGCCATCGCACGTACGCCCCCCGTTGGACTGGGCTGGCACAGCCTTTTTTCTTGGCTTGGTGGCAACCGAACGGTCAGTCGGGAGCGCCCAACGAATGAGCTCATACAATCAATCAGAACCAGACGACGTCCCGCCGTCGTGCGGTGCTGGATTCGCTTCTTACGCTGTCGGCAACCGAAATCGAGATTCCGATGGCATCCGATGCAGCCTGGCCTCGTGGTGATCCCGACCGCACTGCATCTCGTAGGCCATTTCTCCGCACTTTGTTCGGTACGACGTCGCAGCGCCTCGCCTGCCATTCACCGCTGTCTGCGCAGCCGCGAGCGCTGCGGCGACTTCGGAACACCCTACCACTTGGCCGCCTCGTGCGACGCGCCGCGTCCCCGTTCGCCGAGGTACTGGAGGATCCACCTGAGCCTCGAGTCCTTCTTGAACCCCGTCCAGCCCTCGCGGTTGTCGTACGTCGCCGAGTCCGCGGCATGGTCGTCGTCGTGGCCGCGCCGCTCAAAGTCGCCGTCGCGCAAGACGCCATCGTCATGCTGTTGCCGCTGCCGCTGCCGCTGCTCGACCTCCTCGGCCGTCGCTTGGTCGCGCGGCGCGGGCCCAAACTTGTCCTCGACCTTTTGCCACATGGCGAGGCTCCACGCCGCGTCGTCGCCGCTCACCCTGCGTATCGCGGTGAGCAGGAAGAAGAGTTCGTGGGTCGTGGGCGCACGGCGCGCCTTGACCCAGTCCTGGCCGCGGACAGCTCGACCGGCCGCCTCGACCTGGCCCGACGACGAGAGCGGCGCCTGCGTCAGGCTCGTCGGCAGCATGGCGCTCTCGCCCGACCCGAGGATCGACTCGGCCGTCGAGCGCAGGGCGGCAGCTTCCGTCGAGTCGCCCAGCGTGCCATCGGGCAGCGTCGACGCTTCGAGTAGCTCGCTGGCCCGGCTGCCACGTTCAGCGCCCTGGCGCTCAATCTTGACCGGGCGCACCGAAAACGAGAAGCCGGGTTCCTGACTTCGTTGCGGCAAGGGCTTGATACGAAGGAAGGCCTCAAAGATCTCGCCAAACGTCTTGACGTTCCATCCGGACTGGAGAGACGACGCATCGTCCTCGTACGGCTCCCACTCGCTCCTGAGCGGGTCCTGCTCGTCGAGGTAGACGAGGCGCATCGGCCGGCCGTGCTTGGCATAGCCGCGGAAGAACGAGCTGAAGATGTCTGGGGTGGCGCGGTGGTACCGGTCCGGCCCAGGCGCGTCGTGAATGCGCACCCTGCCGTCGGCGTCTCGCCGCACCTCGACTTCAGGCGTCGAGATCATGTCCCGGAAGGTGGACAGCGCGGCGCCAAAATCGCCGGCGAACGTCTGCAGCTTGATCAGGATGGCGTACGTGATGCTGCTCGGGACAATGTGCTCGGGCAGCCGCTCCAGCGAGAGGATCCGGGCGAGGGCGTCGATGGGCTCGTCGGGCGCCGTCGACCACCTCGCAGCAGGCTTGGGGGCGGAGCCGTCGCGGTACGAGACTTGCAGCGGCGGTAGATCGGTGTCCTCGCCCTTGCCTTCGGCGCGAGAGGAGGTGGCAGCCGCCGTCCCGACCTCTTCCGAATGGCCCGCCTGCAATCGGCTGCGGCGTCGTTCAAACTCGAGCAGATTGCCGCGCATGGCATGGTAGACCCGTCCGGCCGCCTTGGCCCTGTCCCCCCTCTGGGCCGGGCCCCTCGCGCTGATGGCCCAGCGCCAGACGACGGCATTGACGTCGGCCACCTCGAGGAGATCGTCGTCCAGCATCGACTGGACCGTCTCGGCAACGGCGTCCCACCGTCCGAGCCGGCTGTGCATGTTGAGGATGATGTTGTATGTGACGCGATCCGGGCTGAGCCTCGAGACGTGCCGCATCCGGTCGAGCAGCGCGTGAAAGATCTTGACCGCCGTCTCGACCGTGTAGTCGCCTCGGTCGGCATCGACACCGAGGCGCTGCATGTTGGACGCCAGCTGGCTCGCCGAGCCGTCCTGTTCGGCGGCGGCTCCCTCGAGCGACGTCGCGCGATCGTCTTCGTCGGCGCGGTCGTAGCCCTGGTCGGCCTCGCCCTGGTTCTTGGCGCGATGGCGATGCACGCTCCGGCTGACGATGTCGAGGATCGTGTTGTACGTCGTGCGGTCCGGCGAGGGCTGCCGCTGCATCGTCCGCTGCCGCTCCAGGAACGATCGCAGGCGAGGCCCGATGACGGCCTGTCGCAGGCGGTCTGTGCCCGCATCGCGCCTCTGACGGAGATCCTGCGCGGAGCCGTGCTGGGTGGGTGCCATCGAGGTGTTGGCCACGTCGGCGCCCGCATCGAGCAGCAGCGTGAGGGCTTCGTCGACCTCTTCGGGCCCGGCGGCCCGCACGCAGCGGCCGGTATACGAGATCATGGCGTTCATGGTGCTGGCATCGAGCAGGCGATCCCACTCCTGGGCCTCGGTGGCGCAGCGGACCAGCTCGTCGCGGCGGCCCTCTTGCTCAGCCCGCTGCGAGAGGAGCAGCGCCAGGCGCCGACGCCGCCGGATCTCTTCGACCACGGTGACGAGCCTCAGCAGGCCCTCTTGCAGCCTCGGCGTGTCGCTGACCAGGCGCCGCAGCACCATCTGCGTCTCGGCCACCGTGAGCGAGGAGCGTATCGAGCCCGCCTCGAGGCCACCGCGGCCGTGGTCTGGGACGCTGCGATCCTTGGGGACCCGGATGTAGGCCTGGAAGACGGCGCCGGCGTCGCCGTACTCGAGCGCCGTGTGGAGCTGCGTTATGGCGCGCGAGCGCGAGGCGACGGCATCGGCGGCATCGCGGCGGTCGTACGAAGTCGAAGTTCCCTGGTTGAAGCCGTCCAGGCTCGAGTGCTGGAGCAGCGGCTTGACCGGGTCCAGGCGGAACAGGGCCCTGTTCGGCGTGCGCTGCGGGCGTCGACGTGGCTGCTGCTGCTCCCGTCGCGGCTGTTGCTGCTTCTGATGCTGTGGACCGGCTGATGAGCCGGGAGCGTATCGGTCGGCATGGCGCTTCCGTCTATCGTTGTCGCGGTTGCTGGCGCTGGCGCTGGCGCTGGCGTCATGGTGAGCCGATCTTTGCTGTGTGGCCAGCGGTCGAGACAGGGAAGTGGAGAGCCATGGCGCCAAGGCAAGCGCAAGGCTATCCAGTCCCGCGGCCGATGTCGCCTGAGTGGAGGATGCGGTGGCGGCCCTCTTGCCGGTTGTCAGCAGCATCTCCTGCAGAGAGGTGTCGATGGTGATGGCGGTCCAAGAAGCAGAAGGTAGCCAACGTGGTGGCAGAAAGGCGCGCGCGACTTTTCTTCCGATTTTCGCCCGCGGAAAGTCAAGCAGGGTGGACCCTGTCCCTCAAGGGCATGCAGCTGCAGCACCTTTGGGGTGCAACGTTGGCCAGCCTGCGACGGTGGTCTCCGAGGATGGCCCATTCCCGTCGCAAGGTGATGGTTGCAAAACAGCCATAGACTCAACCCAAAGCGACAAAAGAGGCTAGTCGTGTTGGTTGGGAGAGAGAGCGAAAAAAAGAAATGCCTCCTAGCCGGTTTGAACGACTGACCTCATCATGACGCATACCGGACAGCCGAAGCCGGTGTGGAATACGAGTGACGCGCTCTACCACTGAGCTAAGGAGGCCGCTGTGTTCGAGGAATCGAAAAGACCCAATATAAAGAATTTGCTAGCATTGCCTCTCGCGCCGAACTGCAGCGGATCCGGGGGTTGGGCGGCGGAAAGAGGGAAAATTCTCGCTTGCCTCACCCACGCGCAGCTGGGAGTCGGGAAGGACGGGCGGCGGCGGCGGCTGGGGGCTGCGCGAAGGATGACGGGTCGACTCAACCTCGTTGCTTGCGAGCTTGTTGGCCGCCGTCGATCATCATCACCTTCCGACCACCCCGACTTCCTACCCAGCCGCTGCTTCCCAAGCACTGCCTCCTCTGCACCCTTCCTCTCCACACGTTTTCCAACGCCGTCAAGCTGTCCAGGATGATCGCTGGAACCGCCGCTCGATCGCTGCGCACGGTCGCCTCGCGCTCCGCCAGCGCAACAGCATCCTCGTCTGCCGCCTCTTCGTCTTCCCTCGTCTGCCGATGCACCGCCGTCGCCGCTCCCGCTCGCAGCGTCTCGACGACGGCAAGACGCTCCATCTCGACCACCGTCGTCCGATCACAAGATGCCGCGCCCGTCGACCCCAAGATTGGTGGTATCGTCGACCAGATCGAGAAGCTGACGCTCCTCGAGGCTGCGGATCTCGTCTCTCAGCTCAAGGTGCGTCGGGCACCCTTGCGCCCCCCCCTCGACCCGCCGCCGCCACTCCATGATCCCATACTGACGAATCGACCCCCCTTGGCCCTCTCCCTGCCCTCGCTGGCCATGACCCCACGACGACCGCACCAGACCCGTCTCAACATTACCGAGATCGCCATGCCCGCCGCTTCGGCCGGGTCGGCTGGTGCCGCCGCCGCCGCGCCTGCCGCCGATGCCGCCGAGGCCGAGGAGGCCAAGCCCAAGGAAAAGACCGTCTTCAACCTCAAGCTCACCGGCCTCAAGGACGCCAGCGCCAAGGCCAAGGTCATCCGCGAGGTCAAGGCCATCAACACGACCATGTGAGTCGCCGCCCTTTCCCCCCGCCCGCCTCCCGCCCGCCGCCGCCACCACCCCTCACCGCCTGCTAGCAGCGCATTACTCGATTCGATGCTGACGTTCCTCGCCACGACCTGCTCCTACCCTGCTCCTGCTACCGACTATCCCCACCCCTGCCCGCAGGAACCTGGTCGAGGCCAAGAAGTTTGTCGAGTCGGCCCCGCAGGTGCTCAAGGAGGGCCTGACAAAGGAGGAGGCCGAGAAGCTGCAGAAGGCCATCGAGACCGCCGGCGGCACCGTCGAGCTCGAGTAGACGGACGGCGCACGCTGCCCTTCTCCTCCTGCCACCGCCGCATCAAGGACGCCTCAGCGATGACCTAGACCATTCGCCGCGTCCGACGGCGAAGACGGAGACAGACCCAGAGACAGAAATGCATGCCCTCAAACGGGCTGTACAGTATACGTTGCACTCGCCGCCACCGCCGAACCGTCTACATGCCCAGCCCAGCGACAGACAGTACAGAGGACAAAGCAAGAGGCGAGAGCAGGGCCCCTGACGCTCGCTGCTCGAACCCATCGTGAGGCCGCGTCTCGAGCAGCCGCAGCGACTAGGCCCAGGCATCGACACCGGAGCCGCCGACGTCCTCGTTGCGCGCGCCCTTGTTGCGCACCTCCTCCTTGCGGTGATCGCCATAGTAGGACCTCGCGACCATGTCGCGGACGTACTCGCCGATGGCCAGCGACGAAGTCAGGCCGGGACTCTCGATGCCGAGCAGGCTGATCATGGCGCCGCCGCTGCCCTCGCTCGGCGCCTGGACGTGGTGTCGCCCAACGGGTGGCGGCGTCGTCGCCGTGGTCGTCGTGGGAGATGCGGGGCCGGTGCCGGGGGCGTGCTGCCAGAGGTGCTGCGAGCCAAGGTCGCCCGAACGGTGCCAGAGAAAGGTAAAGTCCATAAAGCCGCCCTGGCCCGGTCCGATGAGCTTGGGGCGGATACCGGCGTAGTCGGGCGCCAGCCCATCGCGCGAAATGTGCGGCAGGTACTCGGTGATCTGCGAGTACATGGTGGGCAGGCGCGACTCGGAGACCGTTAGCGACTTGCGCCAAAAGTCGATGTGGTCCTCGTCGACGGCGTCCAGCGACGAAGACGAGGAATAGGAGGACGAGGAAGGTGCCGGGGGAGAGAGCCACTCGGTGTCCGGGCCGAAGCGCACGTTGCCGTCGAGGTCGAGGGTGAGGTGGGTGCCGAGCGAGGTGTGGGCGTGGGTGCCCTTGCGCGTGTCGGGCACCGGGTAGATGAGGTGCTCGACGTTGCGCGTGCCCGGTCCCTTGTACGAGGCGTAGTTGCCCTTGGCGTACCACATGGGGATGAGGGGCTCCTGCGACCCCATGGAGCCGAGGAGCGAGTTGAGCACCATGGGGCCGTTGAGGCCCGACGAGTTGACGACGACCTTTGCCAGCAGCGCGTCCGAGTCGGAAGAGGTGCCGGCGTCCGAGGTGACGGTCTGCACCACCCAGCCCTGCCGCGAGCCGTCGGTGCCCCGCTTGGCTCCCAGAGACGACGACGACGACGAAGGCGACGACGAGGCCCGGCTTGGATCGACACGGACGACGCGGGTGTCGTAGACGATTTCGGCGTTTTCAGCGTCGAGGAGCTCACGCTCGAGGCTGGCCATGAGCTCGTGGCTGCTGACGATGCCGGTGCGCTCGCTGAGGAGGGCGCAGCCGATGCTGTCTGCGAGGTCGGGTTCGAGCTGTCTGGCCTCGTCGCCGCTGAGGAGGCGTGTTGGCGGGCTGAGGGGGCCGAGGCTGTCGCAGTGCTGTTTGAGCTTGGCGAGGTAGGGCTGTGCGTAGTCGCCGCCGACGACGAGCTTCTTGGTCTGCTTGTAGGGTATCCCGAGGCGCTGGCATCGCTGGTAGATGAGTTCGCGTCCCTCGAGGCAGAGGCGGGTCTTGAGCGAGTGGCTGGGGTAGTAGAGGCCGGCGTGGATGACTTCGCTGTTGCGCGAGCTGGTCTCTTCGCCAAAGTGCCGGTGGCGCTCGACGAGGTAGGTGGACTTGTTGGGCCACCGCTTTGCGAGGGCCGCGGCGATCGAGAGGCCGACGACGCCTCCGCCGACGACGAGGTGGTCGACGGTGAGCTCTGGCTCCTTATAGGCGTAGCGCGAGCGCGAAGGCAGGGTGGCGACAAGGGGCCGGATAGCTGTCGATGCGTCGGTGGCATAGGCGCGTGGGCGAGGCGAGGGCGGCGATGATGATTTGATGGCGCCGTGTTGTCTCAGCGTCGAGGGCCCGGGCAGGGCGCTGGCCAGGCGAGGGCGGGGAGGCATGGTTGTAGGGCCGTGGCGAGGTGCCCGGTTGGAGGATCGGTGGGGACGAAGAGGGAGGCCGCCTGGGGCTATAGAGTTGCAGACGCAGCGAGCTCTCTTGATGGCTGCCTCGGAGTAGAGAGGGCCCTTTATCCGTGTTGATGGTGGCGTGTGTGCCAGAGAGAGTCTGTGCAGTGTTGCGAGGTGGCCGCCGTCGATGTCGTCGAGGTGGCCAGGGCCCGTCGGAAAGCTCCGAGGCCGGCCCTCGGCGAGTAGAGCGGCCTAACCTTCGACCTCGAGAGCGCGAGGGTGGGCCATGGCAGTCTCTCGCACGACAAAGTAGGTCGGCCCCCCTCGCCGATGCTGATTTTCTTCTGCAGCCTGGCCTGGCCGGCTCACGCCTCTGATCTCTGTCTCGCTCCATCGAAGCCTCACCTTGCTTGCTCTTCTCTGCCGCCATCGTCGTCGTCGCCGCCATTCTCGACCTACAAGCAGCCCCGCACACCTGCACTCCAACCCCCTTCGCATCTCGTTGATCTCAGTCGGCCTTCCTCCTCTCTCCCTCCCACGATGCACAGCCTCACCGCTCAGCGCGGTCTGCTGGGCGCCGTCCGCACCCAGGCACGCACCCTCACCACCTCGTCTTCCACCTTGGCACCGGCACCTGGCGCACCCACCAAATCCGCCACTCCTCCGCCTCCGTCACAGCCCAAGCCCAGCGCCGCCGCAGCCGCAGCCGCCGCCGCCGCCACCACCACCACCACCACCACCACCACCACCACCACCGCAGCACCACCACGCCGCCACCACAAAGCGCTCAGGCAGCAGGCCCGCAAAAAGGACGGCGTCCTCCGCCGCGCAATCGAGCTCTACCACCTCACGCCAAAGTTCCTCCCCACCCCGGACCCTCTGCGCCCGCTCTCGTCGTCCTCGAATCTGTCCTCGGCGGCGGGCGAGTCGGCGGCGCCACCCTCGCAGAAGGAGTACGACGCGACGCTCGACGCCATCCTCTTTGAGACGGTGCTCGACACGGCCGCCGTGCGGCGCACCTCGTTCAACATCTCGCCCCGCGGCCTGGGAGACTACCACCGCGACCTCTCGAGCCAGGCCGCGCGGGTGCCCTCGTTTGGGAGCAGCAACGACCCGGCGGCCCAGAGCCAGCGCGACACCGAGGAGCTGGCCGACCAGCTCACCCAGGACACGTTCCTCACCAAGCGCGAGCGCGACGAGGCCGCCGCCCGCCAGGCCGCCCGCAGAGAGCGCGGCAACGTCCGCAACCCCGCGCCCCAGGGCAACCCGGCCGCCACCCTCGAGGACTTCACCGACGAGGACCTCGAAATCTACCGCAGGAGGCACGACCTCGACAGCGCCACGGCCAGCTCCAGGTACTCGGGCGCGCAGCGCATCGTCGACCTCGTCCGCAACGTGCCCGGCTCCAACGAGTGGTACAAGAACCAGGCCCTCGACACCCGCTCCGCCAGGCTGCGCGACGCCATCTTTGGCACCGTCAATGGCGAGCTTCCCGGCCTAGAGGTTGTCAGGGAGAGGGCGCAGCGGCTGCACCAACAGCAGCAGCAGCCCCAGCAGCAGGCGCAGCAGTCTTCAAAGCAGCAGCAGCAGGCAAAGCAACCGAAGCAGCAGCAGCAGCAGCAGCAGCAGCAGCAGCAGCAGCAGGCGAAACAGTCCAAGCAGCAGCAGCAGCAGCAGCCTGCAGCGAAGCAGAAGCAGCAGCAGAAGCCGGCTCCGACCAACGTCAAGGCGAGCGCATAAGGCTCAAGGCGGGCGGACCGCGGCAGGGACAGAGGAGGGCCTACGGTCAATGGCGCTGCAGGAAGCGGGCCACCGACTCCGATCGGCTAGTGATGTCCCGGCCGGATCCGTCGGCATCCCCGGATACTACTCGGAGACGGGCCGCGACCGCCTCGTCTGGCTGGTACTGAATGCGATTCACAGCGATTCACCCTACCGACAACACTCGCCCGATTGGCGTGGGGCGATCTCAGCTCGGAGGGGGACTCTCAAAGGGGCAAGATGGAGGTTTACGATGGGACCGAGAGGGGTGTGATACAGGTACAACAGAGAGAGGGAGAGAGAGGGGCATTTGCGTGCGTGCATGCGCGCAGGCGCGGCACCGATTGCCCTGCTTGCCTTGTCGGCATGAGACCCTGGAAGCTCCCTGACACGCGGCAAGG